CTATTTAACCCACACTAACATGGCATTACTCACCGGGGGCCCGAGACAATCCATCCGCCACCACATTGTCCCTCCCCTTGATATGGCGAATGTCCAAATCATAGGACTGGAGCATCAGAGCCCAGCGCATCAGCCTTTGGTTAGGGCACTGTAGAGAACTGAGAAAGGTTAACGGGTTGTGATCCGTTAAGACCACAACCGGTACCGAGCCAACATACATACTGAAGTGCTGTAACGGAGCTGGCCATCAGTAACAAACAGACATTTTTATTACACGGTTTATTTGAATACTCGATTCTGATTGGTCGATTCAGAACATGTGACAGGTTGTTAATCCAGTAGAACAGACCGCTGTCAAGGACTGTAATGTCCGTTGCTAAGGAGGATGAAGAAAGGAAAACAGGTTAAAATACAAAAAAATTGTAATAATGAAATATTTCCACACAAATCATAACGTTTTGCAAATTATTTGTCGGCCCACTTGCAATGCCTTCGTGGACTACTAGGGGGCCGCGACACACAGGTTGGGAACCGCTGCCCTAAGGCAAGAAAAATGACTGAAATGGATGACTGAGGTAGATTTATCCACCAATCACAGCGCAGATGTTCAATCTACATTTTGAATTGCCCCGACGAAAGACACTGGACCCTAAATTGATCAGCACTGTGCATGATAGCTTACGGTCATTTGTGTGTGAGTGCTTGTGGAAAAGGGAAAATGTATATACATGCAGCCAGAAACAACGACATAGCTGCACGTTATCATCCAAATGCACAAAAGAAAAATCTGAAAATTGGGATCATACAGAGGATATAGCATGGTCTGTCATCCGGCAACGTGCTTCGGCCGACATTAACTTTTATTTCCCCAACTATTGGTATGATATTAAGTCCAAGTATTATAATCAACGGGTGCGATGGAAGTAAAAAGTGAAGAGCTTCTTTGTCTGCCATCTTAAAATAGTCATTTGTTTGTTTTTCTTGCATCCATGTATCTTCTTGCGCACTTGAGTTCAACAGCCAATCACAGCTATTCGTTTTTGCCAGTAACGTCCGCTACGATTCAACATGTCAAATGTAGGACTCATTACAAAAGACCTAGCCGAAAGATGCTCCTAAACGCCTCCAACTCAACTGACAGCTGATAATCAGATAATTGGTGTGTCAAAGCTTTAAAGGTCCCATGTCGTGCTTTTCCGGTTAGTACCCGTCCCCTTGTGTGTAATGAAGGTTTTTATGCATGTAAACGGTGTGCAGAGTCAAAACTCTCAAAGTACACCCTGTAGCGAGTAAAACTCTAACACAGAAAAGACCTCCCCAAAACACCTCGTTGGAGATACGTCATTGTCCATTTGATTCTTCCGGGTCCAAATTGACCAATCCACGGACTTCCTCACACACTCAGATGAGTGGCTGTGTTTCGCTGTGTATCGCTAAACAAGGAAATCACACCTCCACGGAGCTCAGCGCGATTCACAACGTCCCGACTGGTCCCGACCAATCGGAGCACACTGGGCTCACAGGGAGGGGGGGGGGGGGCAAGAGCTGCAACGAGCCGTTTAGTGGAGAGAGTGAATACACGTAGTTTACAGAGATGCTGTGTGCGAAACCAATGTGAGTTTGGAAAATTGCACAATATAAATCTATTCTAGTAGACATCAACAATGGAACTATGATCAGTGGAAATGGCCATGACATGGGACCTTTAAGAAAAAACCTTTTGTCTTTTCATTGCACACCCATCAGACATTAGTGTGTTCTTGTTATTATTAAACATTACTGTCCCAAAGTGCTGGAACTATGACTGATAGTGATGTTACGGTCCCGAACGATCCAATACTGTTTAACGGCTCTTTGGTACAAGCGAAGGGAACTCACCTACTTGGTGAGTGCCGTTATTTTTATCGTTGGTCCACTGCCTGCTATAAATCCACTCGCCTTTACGGGAACTTGCTTTCCTGAATGCAAATGTTCCATAGATGATGGCATAATGATGGTCTTCCAACTTCTGCCCTCAGGGAGGCCTATATGTCACTGTCACCAAAACCGCCCGCTTAAAAAACAGCTTTGCAATACGGATACTAAATGGACTCTAAATAACCCCAATGAACAATCACAATCAATCACACCTTGAACTTTATGTTTATATGTCATGATGTATATATTTGCCCTGTGCTGTGTGTTGTACTTTTTATTGTCTGTTTATTGTATGTTGAATTGTATGGAACAAGCTGTAATACTCTGCACTGAACACGAATTCCACCAGCCTGGCTGTGTGGTCATTAAAGATTATAATCTAATCTAATAACGCGTGCTGCTTGAGTAGTAATTTGGCTGGCTGAGAGTTATACATTTGTCTGTGAGTAAAAGTAGGTTTCTGGCAATACAGTCCATCGTTATCCTGGTGATAATTTAGCAGGTAAACCTATGAACCCCGCCCGGCTTTTTTGACAGGCTCTCGGAAAGGACCAGAGCCATACCCTAAGATCCGGCTCCCTTCAAAGAGCCGTAATTCCCATCACTAATGACTGATCAAACCGCAAACTAACACAGTATTTCTTGTTGAAACATGTCCGTCTGAAGTCCGTCTGAAAGCCCTTCCAGAGGTTTTGCAGTTAATATACTGTATAGAGGCATGCTCACTTTTGTCATGGTAATTCAGCTAGAAAGGTTTTCCCTCGTCCCTCTCATCTTTCCAGGGACCTCTCATTACCGCTCATCTCCTCTCTGAAGGGCTGAGCAGACCATCTTCGCCCGGCGCAGGTCGGCCATCTGAGTCAGAACCAGATGAGAGTGAAAGTGGAGACTTTGAGAGCTGCAGGCGGAGGTAATCGAGACATTTTTCAAGGCCTTAAGAACGAATAGACATCCGGAACAATTGAGCAGTAATCTTCTTTTCACACGAACCAGTGCAGGAAGACTTTATGTATCCCAGAGTTACACAAATGCAATAAACACAGCAGCATAATAGTACAACTGTACACTAAAACTGCAGTGAAAAGAGCAATTCAATAACTACAGGAAACATAGACGGTCACATACTTAATGCAAATATTACCAGTATTTAGTAGTGCAAAAGAACGTAGTGGCAGATACTTAATTGCACGTTATCATAGCACATTATTAATAATAATAATATTACACATGTGATATAGCAGCGAGTGTAAACTAGACATTTTAGGGAGAAAAGTAGATTTCTTATAGATGCTATATAAAGACAACTCTTAGATTATACTTATTAGATTGATAAAAACAAAGTGTATTTTAAAACACTAATCCAAGGAAATGTATTTCTTCATTTTAATTGTTATTCTATTTCTAGCTCACCTCAGCTTTGCCACTCTTTATGTTCGCTGCCTGTAATTCAGGTCATCTTATCATGTGTTCCCGTGTCGCTGCTGATAACAATGTCAGCCAAATGCCAACGGGAACGTAAAATGCTGTATAGAAAGGCATCAGTCCAGAGGAAAAGCTAACACCGCAGCAGATTTGAAGAGACCATTATGTTCCTGGTGGTGTGTGCAAGGCAGTCATGGGGTGGCAGTGGTTTATGAACATCATTTGAATCTGGGAGCGAATAGTTGTATTAAAATAGATAATAGCTGCAGGATAGCACCTGCCAGACAGACCTATATAACAGATTTGTATGTGGAGGTAATCCTAAAGGGTTTAAGTCTCTGCTCAAACACGTGATTATCAGTTTGATTTCTTTCTTTTTAAATGATTTATTCTGGGAAATTGCATTGGACAGACACAGTGTCCCACTGCCCAATGGATCCACTCTGAGCCCTGCTGGTCTGTACTGAAAGGCTAAATCATTGGTTCATATGTGGTCTTTCCCTTTCTGTGTTTACCAGGGAGGCAGCAGGGTAGACAGGAACTGATAGTACATTTATAAAGAGATTCATTTTTATTTTAGCAGGGGTACACGTGGTTCTGATAGAAACTTCTTACTTGCTACCCCTTTCCCTCAACCTATCCTAAGGGAATGCATGTATGTAGACACGTTAGTTTAGCTGCTATAGGCTTAGACTGTCAGGGGACACCTTACTTCTTCCTTCTGTCTGTCTGTACCTGTGTACTCATGTTCAGAATAACCCAGCTTCCCCCAAATTTATTTTTGCTGTCTGTCTACGCCGGGAACCTGAGTCGTGGGTAATCCTGTTGCTGCGGTCCTGAGTCCTGGATTCTGAGTCCTGGATCCTCTATCCTGAGTCCTGATCTGGGTCCTGGACTTCGTGTCGTGGCTGAACCTGTCTCTGCGGTCCTGCCTGACTCTCATCGCACTACTTCCCTGATGGCTCCCACAGGATTGTAGCTGACATCCTCGTGGATTCATCTTCTTATTACAGACACATGCATTTCCTACATTCGGTCTATATGCTGTAAAATGTATTATCTCTTCAATTTACACACGGCATCTATTGCACGTCTGTCCGTCCTGGGAGAGGGATCCCTCCTCTGTTGCTCTCCCTGAGGTTTCTCCCATTTTTCCCTTTAAACTGTGGGTTTTCTCCGGAAGTGTTTCCTTGTACGATGTGAGGGTCTAAGGACAGAGGGTGTCGTATTGTCATACTGATATTCTGCACAAACTGAGAGAAATGTAACATGTGTGATGTTGGGCTATATAAATAAACATTGATTGATTGATTTGTATTTTAGCAGGGGTACACGTGGCTCTGATAGAAAGCACACAGCCACAACAGTGTTCCTCCTACGTCTTAATGTCGGGAAAAAAATAAAACAATCATACAGTTGTGTGCCAGCAAGAGGCCATAACGTCAATTTGAAACACAGCGCCCTCACAATCGACTCTCATAACAAAGATTAAATGCTTTGGTTATGCAATAAAATGTCTCTCTTGCCAATTTCCCAACAATTGAGTCATAGTTGAAATGATCCACACGGAGATTGGTTTTGAGATGATTGGATCAGGGTTTTTTTTTTACCCCATTTGATAACATTTCAAAAATATTTTTTCAATAAACACACAAGGCAGGTTTAAATATAGGTTTTTAATAAAGTAAAATGAAAAAAAGAATCAGTCTTTTATGAACAAGATATTAAATAAACAAGTCTGTCCATGCTGAATGTCTGCTTCATTAACTTCTTGCATACTAAAGCATGATTTGTGTGTAGTGCATCAACACAGTTACGCTAAACTCAAACAATCGTGCCAAATTTGAGTGACACTAATCTCCAGAACTAAATAAAACGATAAAGCCAGCGCACACAAACGCCCTTGACCTAAATATTTACAAGATAACGATGATGAGGTGACCATTCTCTCTGTCAACGGTGAAAATGTTGCTGAGGCACATATTTGTCAATGTTTTGTGTTGTTTTGTGAAAATAAAAAAAAGGTTTTATTTTAATATAAAAAAAGGAGAAATCATAGCATTTGTTGATGGAAGAACATCTAATCTATTGTAATTACATGATAACATATGTTACAAAACACATAAATTGATCCAATAAGGACCTGACAAAGTGTGTTTTAAGTATTAAAAAGGAAAATATGACATTCCTACTCACATTATGGTATGCAATCATTCCCTTTGCACTGCTACATGATCATTTAAAGTAAGCAGTACCGTAACAGAAAGCACACATCCAGTGCAGCATACTCCAAAATGGCCACAATTTCACAACTTGAGGATCAACAAATGATTTGGCTAGTCTATTCCATATATTTATTGCAAGTATCAACAGCTTACAGTAGTCACAAACACTTAGAGCCGATGCTGTTGTGGCAGTTTTGATCCTCTGTGTGAAAGCAGAAATAGCAACCCGAGGGTCAAAGGGCAAGTGTTTATTCGGCTTGTATTGGCAATACAAGCACACTTGTACAATTAGGATGATGAAACAAGCACCTGATATGTTCTGACAAGAAATAAACCTGTGTCAAACCTCCACTGTCTTCATGTGTTAATCCCAAAATGAGTACAAATTAAGTTTTTTTTTTTTTTAAATGACATTAAACTAAGCTCCTAGGTTCATTCGTAAGTAAAGTCAGTGTTGAGAAGCCTAAAAAGAGGACTTTGAAAATAGTTCTCTGTCCTTGAGTGTCCCAACGGGGTTCCTTAGTTCAGAAGAAGTCAGTCTGTAAGGAAGCCTCTTTCAACTCCACCTTGGCTTTAAATAAGTTTCATGGTGAACCTCCCACCGTCAACTCCTTCCCCTCCACCACCCATTGAGGAGCGAGGAACAAAGTCAATAGTGGCGTTGTGCTTGATCTGACCTTTGCTCTGGCTCCAGAAAAACATGAAGACAAAACAGATGGCCACTGAGCTGAGGAAAGACAGGAAGCCCATGGTGGTGGCGATGATCAAGGTCTTCGCGTCAAACGGGTATGGTTTGGCCATTTGAGCTGAGGAGTTGGCAGCTTCGGTGTTTAAAGGCTCATCCCAGCCCTCCTCGGAAAAGTAAGGGATGGTTCGGTTCCGAGGGAGCCCCTTCACGTACAAGCCGACAGTTAGGCTGTCATTGCCGGCTGCATTGCCCGCCAGACACTGATATGTGCCACTGTCCTGAACTTGGGCAAAACGAACCTCCAGAGTCCCGTTTGGCCAAACCCTAATTCGCCCTGTTGGAGAAACCACTTTCTTATGGGATGAGATCCAGGTGATGGATGGGAATGGATCCCCATCAGCCTTACAGGAGAACAGAACAGTAGTCCCCTCCTCTACTCTTGCCTCCTGCGGCCTGCGGTCCATGATACGCGCAGGGCGGCAGGTAAAGAGCCTTGGGAGCTCCTTCTCTGAAAAGTCTTTGAATTCCCGCTGTCTTACTGCGTCGGGACACGAACAAGTGGGTTGGTGTCCATCAAAGTTCAAGCGCAATCGTCGACGGACCACCCAGAGAAGCCGGCAGTCACATGCTAGGGGATTCTCATCCAACCGCAATACCTGCAGGTTCCCCACAGAGTGGAAGACGCTCTCCTCTAAAGTACTGAGCTGATTGGACGTCACATTAAGCATGCGAAAGTGGGCCAGTCCCCTAAAGGCTCCTGGGTCTATTCGTAGCAGACTCCCGCCTGCTAGGTGTAACTCCTGGAGTCTCAAGAGGTCCCCTAGCAGATTACCCTGGATAACAGTGATGGGGTTGTAGGACAAGTCCAAGTAGCGCAGATACACCAGGTGACGCAGTGCTGAGTAAGGAACAACACTTAGGTTGCAGCTGCTGATGACAAGCGTGGTCAAATTAAGTCCGATCAGGCTGTTGCTAGCCACCGTGTCTAACACAGGCCAGTTTGAAATGATGAGGCTACGCACACGGTGTAGTCGCCTGAAAGCGTTGTTAGGCAGTGTAGAAATGGTAAGGCGTAGCATGCGAAGACGTGCCAGGCTCTGGAGCTGAGACAAAGCCTCTGTAGGAACGGAGGTCAGGTTGCTGCGGTCTAAATTTAGTTCTTGCAGATTCTGCAGACCATAAAAAGCTCGCTGGGAAATGAAGACCAAGTCATTCTCCTCAACTTCCAGTGTTTGCAAGTTCACCATTTCTTTGAAGGTGTAGTCCAGGAAGACCAGAATCTCATTCTGACTCAAATCCAGAAAGCGCAGACTGGAAAGGCCAGAAAACACCCCGACGGGGATGATCTTGAGTCGGTTGTTCTTAATCCGAAGCGTCCTGAGGTTCTGCAGCCCCTGGAAAGCCTCCACCTCAATCATGGAGATTATGTTATCACTGAGATCCAACTCTTGAAGTTGCGGGAGGCCAGAAAACTGCCGGCGCCCAACAGTCTTAATCTTATTGTGGGATAAATCCAAACGCCTGGCATCGCCGGAAAAGCCCTCTGGCACTGAGTTCAAATGTTTGCCAGAGCAGATCAGTTCTTTGGCCTCAGGTCGACACACACAGCGTGGAGGACAGCCTCCTGCGGATACACCCAGCACAAACTGGAAGACGATGCTCCAGGCCCCCCATCGCACGACTGACTCCACAAACATCTTACCCCCAACCTGAAAAGAAACACAAAGAAATTAGCTCTGATGGTTTTTGGCAATTCATTCAAATGTTTTATAAAGACGTTTTATGTTAAAACTCAAGAGAGGCACATCTATATTTAATTTATTTTCCTCATTTAGATTAAGTGAGTATGACACATTAATAGGTTTTTAAATATTAAGAAGCCCTGAGACACAGTTTCGTGAGAAAACTACCCGCCGGACCCGGATTAAGGTACTCTCGGGCTTAACAGGTTAAACATGTGTCAATACATACCGTTTCAGTCTCGTAGTGCAGATTCTCATAACCAGTGGCAGGCAATATTTTAGTTAAGTCCTCGGTAGAGATGTGGTTCCACCAACAACATGCCCTTAATAGTTGCCTGAAAAGAGCAAAAAGAGATGGAAAAATAAGTCTTAACAAAAATAAAGAATACATATAAATACATAATATATAAGCCCTGTATATTAGGGTTAGGGTTAGGGTTAGGGTTAGGGTTATGTATCCCCCCTGTAATCATCTGTAAAACGTTATGTCCGGAAATGTGTCTTTCTAGTACAATTTAAATAAGAAAATTGTGAAAGAACAAAAATCTCAGCTTTGTACTGCAACCTATTTGTGTTCCGATATCGCAAACCATTCATTGAAAACATAAAATACAACTTTCTGGGTGGGTGATCCAGCCATTTTAAATTCTGTTGTGCTAGCTGGTTCAGTTATGTGACTAGGCTACCAACAAACACAATCTGCTTATAATGGTTTCTTGTGTTTTGAGCTTTGACGAGTAAACACACAGCAGTGGATGTCATATTAAACTCTTCCAACAACCCAAAAGGACCATAACATGGTGACACTATTTCGACTGCTGCCAATGTCCCAGAATTCATTTCTGCTGGTCCCTCGGTAGGTATCATTACACTTTAATTTGATATGATAGTGAGCACAACACAAAGTACACATTGGGTAGCAGAGACCCAGCCTAGATCTCTGTCCACAGACAACAACATCTCTACTTGTACGATGGAAATGTCCTCCTCCTGAAGACTAGAAGTGTCCACATATGATCTGCCCTTTAAAACCAAACTAAAAAGGTATTTATTCAGAGTAAGCAACAGGGTGAGGGCAAAGACTTTCAGAATAAAATGAGTTAACAAACCATATAATTAAGTACAACATAAAACAGAACAGTAACAAGTAGTATTCTTTTTATCTACAGACCTATTGCAAATGTATTTGTTGAGGAAATTAAAGTTTACTGGAGTATGCGGTCAAGATTGCAAAGGTCTTTTTTTAGAAATGTCTGCTTTTGGGCTTACTAACTAACTTACTCGTTACTTAATGTTAGTAACTCTTGTTTTTTTTTGTTATTTAAATATTCATAACTATGTGTGCTTTTTTACTGCATAATGGTTTTAAAATAGTGACTTTGTATAAAGAAACATCTTCCAACCAATGTCTTAGCTCACCATCATAGATGAACAATCTAAATGTTATTTATATGGTTAAATAAATGGCATTACAGTTTACTAAAAAATTCAAAACTAATCCCATTTAATTGTATTAAATTCCTATTTTTCAGAGTTTCAAGCGGTTGGACTAATAAATAATACACAAAGGGATGTTTAATCTGCTGTATTTACTGCAGATGAATGGAAAGCATAACCTGACAGACAGTTAGAGTTATGAATCTGAAGTAAGTAGGGATGCACGATAATTATCGGCCCGATAATTATCGGTCCGATATTAGGAATGATGACGTCATCGCGATAAACCCGATACCAGTATTATTAGCCCCGATAATATACAATATATTTTTTGGGTAAAAAAAAAAGAAAGAAATACTGCGGTGTGGGTGGATTGGGATGAGGGGCGCTTGTTTTTCACTCGGCTCCTCCCGTTTTGCCAGTACTGTGGTATTAGTGGTTTAGGAAGAGGGGAGTTCTTCACAAATCCAGCGCTCCCTAACTCATGCCTGGCTGTGACGTAAATGGTGTGCGGCCGTGAAGCCAGGACAGTAAACAAACATGTCGTCGGTGGTATGGGCGTTGGAGCTATGTGCAACTCAAGGCATATGCTCGAACCGGAGCTGCCTGGACGCTGCAATCATGTTGCGCACTATCCGTGCTGAGTGTGCTGACTTCTCGTACAATGTCCCACTGTCTGGCTTCCTGCATAAAGTCAAGTGCTCGGCGCAGTTGTGGCGAAATGTCGCTCCTCTGTTTTCATTTAAACAGCTCCATATCGGTTGGCGCAGCTAGCTAGCACCAGATGCTAACAACAACAATGCACGTAAGGTCTCTCTTTCGCTCGGGCCACACATACATACACCCTCCCGGTCCTCCAGATGGCCAGTCGGGGCCTGCCGGTGAGCGTGGAAGTGTGGTCTGCCACAAGCGGGCGGCAGGAGCGGGGCTGTCAGCATCAGTTTATAGATGGTATTTTAAACTCGATGCGCTCTGAAACTACGGGGCGGCCGAGGACAAAAAATACACATGCGTTAATCGCTTTAAAATAATTAGTGGCGTACATTTTTTTTTATTATCGGTTATTGGTATCGGTCTTGAGAAGCAGGAAGTTATCGGTATCGATTTCAAAAAACCAATATCGTGCAGAAGTAAGGTGTAGCGGAGAAAATACTTCAATTATACAATGGATTTGAATAATGAAGATTTAAAAACAAAATCACTATTCAGTAAAACGGCATACAGAAAGATAAGGTAGCCAAAACGACTCAATGTGCTCAGAACCAGATCAAATCCTTAATGATGAACGTCAAAAGACAGATGAAACACACATTTTAAAACCAACAGTAACAGGATGTTAACACTGAGTAAAGAGTGAGAGCTTCTGCACATGTGTGAGCAAAGAAGTCCAAAACAAAGCCCCAATAATGTGAAAGGCTGCAGAGTGAAATATTACATAATAACATTATCCTGTGTCTGGTTGCATAAACAGGTGCTGGGAAAGTGTTAAGGATGCATTTCTCTCCAACAACCTCCACTGAGACCTGCTCCAGTGCAACGGAAATAAAAACTCTCCAAAATGATTTGTACACAGCATCGACAACGCTCTGCATCTGCACAGAGAACTCAACGCCAAACAGTTTCCACTGCACTCATAGAAAGCTAACTAGTTTTCAAACGAAGACAAGATAATATGTGTGGGGGAAATAATCGATACAGCATAGTATCGCGATACCTTGCGTGGCGATATTGTATCGATACACAGATATTTTCTTTATAGAAACTGTAGCATATCGCTCCGAAAGATGGTCGTGTATAAAACAGGAAGTTACGTTAATAAGACATGTAACTGCAATGAAAGTAACAAAAACAATGCCATCTCCTTTTCAGGTTCTAATAACACAAATTGTGTTATTTACATAAACTATTCATATTGCAAATACAGTTTTTAACCAGGAAGGGAAGACGGACATGGACATGACCCATGTGATTTGCAATATCACAATATATCGTATCGCAATACTATCGTATCGTGGCTTAAGTATCGCGATAGTATCGTATCGTGGGGAGCCTGGTAATACAAACCCCTACAAGATATTATATATGTTGCTTGAATATACAATCCCAGACTGAGTCTACCTGCAGCAGCTCGTCCATCAGACGGTTTTAGACTCACCCTCGGAGGCTTCCACAGTCCAGCGGCTGTAGGTCTATATCTCACCGCCGCTCTCCATAGAAACTGCTTCTGCTGCTGACTCACACCCAACACCTTGTGCTCTTAGACTCCCAGGACTCCCCTCAGACCGAAATACATGACACAGCACACACCCATGCTGCCGCTAATTCAACTCCACACAGTAAAAAATAATAATCAAGAGCCAACCCTGGAGCCAGCTTTAAAATGAATATTTAAATTGATTTAAATGTGGTCTTATTTTCATCTAATTTAATTCTTATTTTATTGTTATTTAACTGTTTTATTCTTTTCTTTTAACTTTTGTATTCTTATTTTATTCTCATTTAATTCCTATTTTACAGTTTCATTCCTATTTTATTCTTATTCTATCAGAATCAGAATGAGAAACGGGTTTATTGCCAGGTAGGTTCACACGTACGAGGAATTTGACTTGATGTCATGGAGCATACTGTAGACACACATTCAAAACAAAAATGTAAAAAAGTACACAGATAGCGAACTATATTAAGAACACTGTAATACAAATATAGTACTAGGCTACTACTGTTCTTATTTAACTGTTATGCTTTCTTGATTTACTATTTTACTCTTATCTTATTAAACAATTGTATTCTTGTTGTAAGTGTTTTTTATGAATCAGAAAGTTATGTGTTGCTCCTGGGAAGGAAGGTTTATTTCCTGAGGAGGGGGGTTAGTTCGTTTATTTTTTTATTTCTACCCCATGTGTATGAAAACTGCTTTATAAACAAAGTTCAAGGGGAAGTTTTATTGCACAAACTTTAGTAAAACAATCTGAAAAACAACTAATTTTTACATTTTCTTTCATTTTAGCATTTATAAGTTGTTTTTGTACCACGCTACTTTTAAATGTTAACGTCTAATTTAGTAAATGAGATTCAAATATTGAGTTTTTTCCCAACATGATATGGTGGTAGTGCCTTAAAGAACTAGTTTTATTAATGACATTTTGAAGGTAGGGTATTAAATCCCTAACATAAAAATAAAATAATTTAATGAATTGATGAAATAATAATACAAATATAAAATTAAAATAAGCTTTAAAAAAACTGAAATGTTACTCTGGGCTCTTGTATAGGTTTTATCGTCCAGTGAAGACCTCTTGTTACTGCTCGTTCTCTTGGATCATTCACATATAAACACATTGATTATTGATTTCTGCCAAAGGATTCTACCTCGTTTGCTTTCTGCATGGACTGTTAACTTTGATGAAGCCAAAGCCCGCTGAGACGTGATACTCGGAATACAACAAACCAAACAAGAACGATACCAAAAACACAATCTTGTCCCCTTTTTAAAGGTCACCTATTATGCAAAATCCTCTTCCTCATGTCTCTTCTCCATCAACATGTGTCCCCTCTTCTTCATCAACATGTGTCCCCGCTTCTTCATGTCTCTTCTACATCAACATGTGTCCCCTCTTCTCCATGTCTCTTCTACATCAACATGTGTCCCCTCTTCTTCATGTCTCTTCTACATCAACATGTGTCCCCTCTTCTTCATGTCTCTTCTACATCAACATGTGTCCCCTCTTCTTCATGTCTCTTCTACATCAACATGTGTCCCCTCTTCTTCATGTCTCTTCTACATCAACATGTGTCCCCCTCTTCTTCATGTCTCTTGTACATCAACATGTGTCCCCTCTTCTTCATGTCTCTTCTACATCAACATGTGTCCCCTCTTCTTCATGTCTCCTCTACATCA